AGCCATGTCAAACACCACAAATACATACTTTCTCTTTCTTGGGACCTAATATTATTGTCACTTTATGCCAATCATATTTTCTGGGCATGGGATACTGTTGTAACAATCAATAACCATGATTAGAGCTCCTAAGCACTATGATACTACACACAAATAATATTGGATTCGGGATACTTATTCAATTTATATAGAAATAATAACAAAATATACAGGGTGGGCATGAGGTATGGCAGTGATTGATCACTTTATGTAGAATGAGGGTCTAAAAATTAAAATGCATTTGTGGCTTATGTTTTTGAGGTTAACAACATAGTTATTGAGATTGCTGGCCAGCATATACTAGAGATGTAATTGATAGCCGACTAGTCAACTATCCAATAAACATCAGCTTATCAGATAGTCGAGTAATGACTCAACTAGTCGCTCTCCCCCCCGCTGCCTCTATCAGAGGCAGCAAGGTGGGGAGCAGGAGCCAGTGTTGGGGGAGCCGCTTAAAAGCCAGTTCCCCCAGCACCGTCTCTGCAGGAGACAGGGGAGACAGAGGCGTAGCGGGGGAATGAGCGCAAGTCGGGAATCAGCTAATTCCTGGCTTGCACCTAGTCCCAAACACCGCACCTTTGCCTTTTAAATATATTAAAAGCCTCTTTTATATTAAAAGGCTCTTAATAATTTTAAAGGCTGAAGTACAGCGAGGAGAACCAGGTGCAAGCTGGGAATCAACTGTCCCAGCTCACGCCTAGTCTCCCCCACTGCACTTCAGCTTTTTAAATGTATTAAGAGCCAGCTTTTAATACATTTAAAAGGCAAAGCTGCAGTGGGTAGCTCCCAGGGTTGGAGTTGCAGTTAACTCCACTGCAGCTCTGCCGTTTTCCCCACTTATCGACTAATCAACTACTAGTTGATGGAAATTCCATTGCCTAGTCAATGAGTTGATTAAACACAATTTAACATCCCTAGCATATACATGTATTTTTCAGAATAATATTTACAAAAACACTCTGGTCCTCCTTGGGCCTCACTTTTAAGAGGAAATCCAATAAACATATAAATAAGCACAATGTACTGCATACCCAAAAATATAATGGCAGCAGAAATTTCCTCTTGATTATCTATTATATACAATATTATTCTCAAGGGCTAGTTGGGATTGTGCATCCAAACAGGATATCTAGAAAAGCAGAGTAGCCGTACCACAGCAATTTTCTTTAGCTCATGTGGGGTAAGTTTTCCCCAAGGACCACAAGGATTCCAGAATGTGTCTCGAATGAAGTGGTGCGTATACACACAAAAATCTGGGATCTCTGATAAATGACTAAATTCGCTAGGTTTGGTCACCAGCTTCTGAGACAGAACCTTAACGGGAATTAGAAAAGCAGGAAACACCTCTCGATATGATAGTAACTTCTTTAAATGTGAATAAACTTTTCTGCAATTGTGTTTTAATAATTCCACACTTACGATGCCAGTAATTTACAAAAATAAATGGTGACCCAACTTCAGGCGAGACATATAGAAGAGAAAAGGAAATCTGGATCTGAAATGTGGCACAATTCCACACAAATGAAATATATGAATGAATCAGAGCCAACTGGGACATTCCAAACTAGTATATGGAGATAAGAAAAACATTTGTTTGTTCGGATTTTCCTATTAATACAATTGGAAACCAATACAAAAACTAGGGAATATGTTAAAAACAAACTTCCAGCTTCTCATCAGTTACAGCTGCGTAAATCAAGAATAATTCCACTAACGTCAGCGCAGAAATTCCCAATTTACACCAGTGGAATAGATCTAAATATGGCTCACATTGCTATCTATCATTTCAATACAAAACAAAAAATGAACCTAACTGTGTGATTACTTGGGGAGTTAATCAAATATCAAACTTTCCACTTTTTACATTTTTTTTTGTAAGGGAATTTTTCCAAGGTAAGTATTCACCAAATATTGTAGGTAAGGTACCACAGTCCTATTAATATTTAATATTAAGAACGGCAAGAGGATACATTTCCATACAAAACCTTTTATTATTCACGTCTTTCTAAAGTGTGATTTGGTACTTCCACCAGGTTATAGTCTGAAACTGAATAAACATACTTAATACTAAAATAGGTTTACCTTATACAAAATTGGTAACCAAATTTTACTTTGGATTTCTAATCATTTTAACACTGTATTAAAATGAAATAACTTGATAGTACTGCTTTCATCATAAAGATCAGTTTAAGATTATCAACACAATCAATATTTGTGTGCAAGAACCATGAACGCCTGCCTGGAAGAAGATGAATGTGCTTCAGAAATCAAGAGATAAGATAGCAGAAGGTGGGTCCTATGAAGTACTAAGGCAGAACTCACTTTTACATCAAAGTTAACAAAAAGGTTCATCTTTATTTTCTTGGGCAAACTGCACAAAGTAAAGACCAGAAATGTATCCACTTCTGTTTACCAGACTATCCTGTTTTTTAATAACTGGGGGGGGGGGGGGGGGGATCTAGCCAGGACTAGGTTTGGGGTTAAATTCTATTATATTAGACTTACTTCAGATTCAGCAAAAGATGATTGTTTTGGTCTGTATTCTGGTTGTATGTGTCACTGTGTATTTCTATTTCAGGACTTACTTGCTTAACCTGCAGGAAGCTTTTTAAAGCACTATGAAAATCAAACTCCATTCAGATTTCATACCAGGAATTAAACCTATCCATTTCTCCCTGCTTCACAATACCTTTATTTCTCTGGTGAAAACT